TTATTATTATATATATATATATATATGTGTGTGTGTGTGTGTGTGTGTGTGTGTGTGTGTGTTCGTGTGTGTGTACGTGTGTGAACGTATGTGACTTTCTTAAGGTAGTTAAATGCCTTGTCACCTAATTAATGGTGCACATAAATGGATTAATGAGATTTTAACTGTCTCTATCTAGCAATAACACAGTCAAGGGCATGTAACAGCCTTTTCCAACACAAAGTATTAATACATTCAAATCATAAAGATATGTTCCCATTGATGATTCAGATTTTTTCAAGACAGGAATACCCCATGTACTTAATGGTTTTGGAAAATAATGAAATATGGATTAATTTCCCCAGATGGATATACTTCTTGATTTTGTTGCATACAGTTGCCTGGGGCATACAGGTGGCTTCGGCCAATGACCTTTGTGTTTGTGAATTCTCACCTGTTAAAGGTGACACTTTGTTTATCACAACTTGTTTCAGGTCTCTTTTCTGGATGGTCCTAGAACCCACATATGTCATGCATACACAAGTTGCTTCCATGACATATCCATTCAAGCATTACATACCTCAAGCAGCTGGAATTTCAATTGCTAGAAATCAATACACCTGTCCTTCCATATAATAGATTCATGAATTTCTAGTTTTTATAGAAATCAGGTGCCTATGAGCTAGGTTCATCCTCAAGATTATCACAAATTATCTCAATTGAACAAATTTTGGCACCATCAATCAAGTTCTAGTTATCATGGAAGCAATAACTGATTTGTATCTTTAATTTCTCAAAGTTATCTTTCCTCACTTGTGCTCCTCTTGAAATATAGACAAAGAAAATCCTCTATGCTCTGGCAAAATTTAGCAGAGAGGAGGAAAGAAAAGCTAAGATGAGGATGAGAACAAAGGAACACCAATTACCTTGATAAGTCTTCTGTTAAATATTGCATGCTTTATGCTTATCTACCATTCAGATGATTAATCCATAGTTGGGGCCATCAGATACCACTGATCACATCAGTCAATTTTGAACAGATCATCTGGACTCCAAGGAGCATGTGGAAAACTGCCAAGAAGGGGCTGTCAACTGTGGATTTGCTGAAATCAACTGGGGCATTATGTACATAGATGAAAATATAAGCATTCAACATTGATGTATCCCCTCATTAGATCACTCCTTCAGAAGAAGAGATGAGCTATGGTGGGTGGACCAAGTTCACATACCAACCACTACACAACATTTAGATGCATGGTCATAATCATGATATGTTTGAGTGATGTTGCTGTCATATTCAACAAATTACATAATCTGCATAAGCCAGGTACCTCTCATTATGATAAGAAAAACATTGACAACTTTCACCAATGTGAACCTTGTGTTTGAGTTGCCTTGAGAAGAGATACCAAGCCTATGGCAACACATTACTGGAGCGAGCAGTAGTGAAAACTTAACATTTGGTAGAATGAGAGAATTCCAGCCAATAAAGAAGAATCAATGCCCATGCTGACAGTGGCTCTACAGTAGTTTACACAGAATAACATGAATGATGGTAGGTTGCCCTTGTTACAACCGGCAGGAAGAAACAAACTGAAACATATCATTCTTCCATCTTTCAAGAGTTCAACAAAGGAAGATTTAGCTCACTTCTAAAGCAGTTTTGCCAACTAGCTGCATAGAATTTCTGGCCCTAGAACAATTGGAACACTGTGTGCTGTTTAGTTTGGATGGACTAGCACTTGATGCTGTAGAATACCTGAAGTATGGCCAACTCTGCAGAAGGAAAACTGAGCCATATATCAGTTATAATTAAGGTTCATAAATGTGGTGGCCATAAGAACTTAGCTGTGTATGTTAATGAGCTGCAAATACCAGCATGGTGACAGCAAATACCAGCATGGTGACAGCTGACCAAGAGGATACCTTGGTCAATAATTTTTTGGATGGACTTCTTAGTGAATCTATTCAACACCACTTGGACATTACAGATATTATTTTGCTAACAGAAACTGTTTCCATGGCAATAAGGAACTATAACCATAACTTTGACCAAGAAAACCCTATAATGGTAGCTGCAGTGGTTCCACAGTGAATGTGCAGACCTAATGACATGGGTAACCATAATAGATCATACTACATCCACAGAAACCACGTGGTAGCACAGATAACCCTGAATGACTACCAACTGAGTGGCAGAGGTATCACAAGTCAGGTATGCTAATAATGCAGGTGGAGAGGAGTCTTGATTCACAGAAAAATGTCTGTTATAATTATGGGTAATTTCTGATACAAGTATCATTTCCCTGTGTCTGTACAGGATTCTAAACACCCTCAGAATAGACTAAATACTTGACAACAGCCTCAAGGGAAATGACAAGCAATAAACACAGTCAGGCCCATTAATTTAAACTAGCAAGACCTTGATCATGTCTGTCCACTGATTTGAGGGAAACAGCCATCTCTGGATTTTCAGGTATGGTGGTTAGTAAAACAACTATAAGAGCTGAGTATGACTTGGTAAATGCCTGGTAAACTACACGTGTGAGGTAGTATACAGTTTATATAGGTGCTACTAAAATTCTCTTAGATCTTTAGATGTATCAGTTACTATCATATAAATCACCATTCCATCCAGTAACTACGGTTTCTTCTCACTAACAGTGATTGGCTTACAGTAAAAGGAGTTGCTTTCCTTGGCATCGCTGTTGGTATCATCCCTAAAATGTACAGAAGTTGTAAAATCAGATTATGGTTCAAACATTAGCATTTTTGGTTATTTTCTACTAATGTTATCTGCTAATATAACTTATATACTAGGGGAACTGCAGGTCTGTGGTGAAACCATATAATGTTGACCCAAATATGCACAGTCTAATACATAAGTTATTTTTTGTTGTGATCTACAAACACTATCCTATACTGCATCACATGCTGAGATATATTATATGCTGAAGGAAAAATCTCCCAACCTTCAAAAAGTACATAATCATCACCAGTATTGACTTTTCAAAAGAAAGAAGGTACACAGAAGTTCTGCATGGATTTCAAGCAGGTGAATGTGGTAATACATGCCCACTGCTGCCCAGGGACAGATGTCTCAATGCATTGGAAGAACCTATTGGCTTAATTCACTAGATCTTGCCTCTTGGCAAGTTGAGCTACACAATGAAAGCAGACTTCAGACCACAAATGGTGACAAATGGTTCGACTTTTTAAGCCTGGCAGTGAAAGTGCTTAACACTGCAACTGTTCTGCCACAGTATGTGAATCTACTACTGACCCAAATCCATGTGTCAGTATGTTGTATACAACAGACAGATGCATACTTCATGTGGTAACATTCATGAAATTATGGTAGTTTAAATATATAAAACAATTTAAGCACCTAATTCTAAAAGAACAAGTAATGAAGAGAAAATGCTTCTGAGATAAAATGTATTATATTTCTTTTTAAAGAGTGAAGTTGAAAATTTGCTATTTGAATGACTGTGTTTCCTTTATGGAAAGCAGACTTCAGCAATAACAACTAAGGTTGACCATTTTGACATTGTTGTTTTTTTTTACTAGTTTCTGAGTAGCATTCACAGTATTCCTTATTGCTTTGACAATTGAATATTTTACTTGTTTTCAAATGTATAGTTTAAATCCTTTCATAAGTGCACCTTGAAAAATGTACTAGACTTGAATTTACATCTCACCCTTAAACTGAATGACTTAACCAGCATGCTGTTGATGATTAAGGTAAACCAACTACTACCTGTCCAGTTTTCTGTTTATTAACCACATCAAATGACCAATTGGAAGAGTTATTTTAGGAGTAGAGCAACATTTCAAATCTGGGCAATCTCCCTGGCACTCCCAGTTGCACAAGTGATAAGCACACTGCCTGCATCATCCATCAATAATCCAGTTGCCTCCTCTCCTTCTAAACCACTGAAAAGCGATCATGCCCAAAGCAGGATCAATTCAACATCAATTGGAGAAGAAAAAAAAGAATAACTGATGTTTTTTTGAAAGACAGAATGAAGTAGGAGGGGAGTAGGTTCAACATTTGTTTATATATCTCAGTAAAACAAAAACAATGGAAGTTCTATGTTTATGTTATGACTTGTCTATATATATGTATATAGTATGTGTTTCTAATTAATTAATTGGACACTCAGAAAATTACAAAAGGTTAAGAAGAAAACCTAAAATGGGTGATTAAGAGCACAGATACATCACTGACACCGAAAACTAGAAAATGAAAACTTTCTTAATATTTTCTTTTGAAATTAAGATATCAAACCTTAGATGACATTAAAATTATAAATTGTGTTTTGATGCCAAATTTACTGTCATACATTGAAACTAAAGTTGTTCAAATAAATTTTGATTGTAACTATATAAGGTGGTGATATGTATACTTTGACCTTGCAGTGAACATCGGGTTATGTGCCCGAGTTGTAACATTTTGTAGACTGCCAGGTCAAGGTACTTATCTAATGTTTCAAGGGATAGTTATATCATATTCTACTTCATTTTGTGTGTGTAAAGGACTATGTTATGACTGTAACTTGAAGCAGAGATAGTTCCACATTCTGGTGAATGTTTCTTCATTGTTCAGCTACAGAGAGAAAATGTATATGGTGAATGCAGTCTGGCATTTTTCAAGTGATTCTTACTGATCTTTGAAAGCATCAAGATTTGCTGATCAAATGTGATACTTGTTCGTCTATACTCTGTTATACACCACATTTCACTTAATATAATTTTCTCATTATTTCACAATGCAATAGTCAGCACTATCCTGATCAGCCACTTGTTTGTTTCTCATTTTATAACATACTTCAACACTGTATCTTACATCCTTCATTTCACTTGTAACAGATCACTACACCTGTTCAACATTGTATCTTACATCTTTCAAGTGCTTGTGTACTAGATTCAACCTTGAGATTACCACACATGTATTAGAAAGGTTGGCATCTCCTCATTTAAATAATTTCACAGATCAACGTCTGAACATGAAAGATGCTTAAAAAAGAATACATTTTAGGTTGATCTTTTGTCAAGAAATTTTTCTCTTAAGAAAACTGAGAATAACTAGTTACTACTACAGGTACATTCTGCTAGAATAGTAACAACTGCTTCATACCTTAAAGTTCATTACTTATAGCTTAGTGACTGCACAATGAAAAACAAAATATTTTTCCTTGAGACAGAAGAATATGTTTTTCTTCTAATAATGTATATATGTTCATTACTGCTAAGTTCAAATTATAAATATGATTCCCCAACTAGCTATTTATCACTTTCAGATATAGACTTAATACATAAGTATACTGGTTTATTGAAGAAAGACAAAAATGTAAGTAACTGTTATGTAGTTTTATCTGAAATTATACTAATCTGTGTATATGCTTTAAACTTTTCAAAGTAACCCTTTTAGTTTTGCACTATTTTATACTTCACACATTTTCTACAAAATATCTAAAAGCTGACAAAATTATAAAATGTTATATTTAAAACAAGTTTTAAGTATAGGAATATAAGTTAAATTGGATAGCATTAGAAGGTTTACCCACATTATTATTGAACCTCCCAAGTTTAAACTATTTGTTTTATTCCAAATTCTAATCTTACACTGGCATACAGGTTACAAAACAAAATTAATAAAAGACTACAAAATATATGTTTTCCTCTAGATTAATTAAAGTTGGCTAAATCTAAGACTAGAGTGTTTGTAGATTATTTCTGCTCATATAGGAAATTCTTGAAGCTTAACAATCCATCAAAGAACTTTGTCTTACAATACTTAAATGATGGATCAACTTTTACATTTTTGCTGAGAAACTAATAATTTGTCTAATTTCATTTTCAATTAAATAAGAGCAATACAAGCTTTCATTTTTTAAGAAATTTAGTTGTTTTTTTTTAAATTTACTGTTTTTATACTCTTAGTCAGTCAATGTGTCCCATTAAGATATATAAGATATAAAACCATCACCTTTCTTTTAAAATTAAAGTAGTAGATGTGCCATCAGATAATTCAGATGGACATGCCGCTACATTTGGATCAGCTCCTAAGAGTAGGAGTTCTTTCACACAATCCATGTTGTTCACCATACAACTGATGTGCAGAGGGGTCCAACCATCACCATTTGTAGTATTAATCACTGCTGGTGATGGAAAGCTTCTTAAAGCCTAGCAAGGAAACACCACTCTGCAATTTAAAGAACTTAACATCAGTAAATGTAAAATAAAAGAAACTATCTTAATTGAAGAAAACAGCCCCACCTTAAAAAACACTCCAGGGTACCAAGATACTGATATTAGACTGTGAAACAATATCCAGTCTGTGGTCTTTTTGTTCTATACTGACAAAATCTTGTTGATATGTCATACAGTTATGATAAAGTTTTTCATTACCCAGTCAAGCTGTCTCAACTTTTATTTACTGGTACTATAATACTACTGACTTCTCTCACACTGGTTGAAGAACATTTTTTTTAATTGTTAAGGATGCATTATCATATTGCAAAAACAAACTTCATGGCTTATTAAAAACTTAATGTATGAAACCTATTTGTTGCACTCTTTTTTTTTTCTTCGTTATATTTTTGTTAAAAATTAGTGTTTTGAATGGATATACTGTGATTTTTTGAGTTGCAATGGTGGTAAACATGGGAGGGTTTTATGTTCAATGAATCTAGCTTCCAATTTTCTACCTGTTTCTCTGATGTAAAATTCTGGACAGTTATTACATGTTATTTTATATATGACGTTGGAATTGTGTGATTCTATGTAATTTTTATTTAATAACGATTTTAGTTTATTGATAGGATTTTGGGTGACTTTTACATCAACAGAAATTTTATGTTTGATGGCAAGTTTTCTCCAAGTGTTGATCATTTTTGAGTTAATGTCAGGGATAAATGGTATACTGCAGTGTAATGTTTTGTTGTTGTTTGGTGTATTAGTGTCAATTTTGTTTGTGAGTTGAGTTTGAAGTTTTTATTCTGGTGGTTGTATGGAAATGTTTAGTGGAAATTTGTTGGTGTGCATGAAGAATGCTTTATAGAGTTGATTTCTTCATCTATGTCTTGAAGCTATGTGTAAAAGATTTTTTTAGTATATTAATTTTTTTGTTTGGATTCATGGGCAGAATTCCAGGGGATGTAGAAGCCTGTGTGGATGATTTTTTTGATGAATTTTGGTTTTGAAATGTGTGTGTCGGACCTGGTAATGTTGAGGTTAAGAAAAGACAATTATTTGATATTTTCTTGTTCAATGGTAAATTTAATGTTATGGTGAATAGAGTTTATGTGTTCAAAAAAAAAAGTTCCTCATTATCAAATAGACTAGTAAAATTATTGGTTCTTCAAGTTTTAAGATTTTTCTAAAGTTTCAATTTATACATCTCCAACTTGGATGAAGCCTGGTAAAAATCATTGATCATAAAAAGCATATGGTTGTACTTTATAATTTGAGTCGAATAGTAACAAGAATGATACATTTTGTTTTATAAAAATAGTTCAAACTTACTTGGATAATTTCTTTTTTTGAAGCAGCAGCAGCATAATGATATACAGTGTTACCACTTTTATCTGTTAGGTCAACTCTAGCATTCAACCGTAGTAGTGTTTCAATAGCAGACACATTCTGGAGCTTCACAGCCAGGTGAAGGGGAGTAACTAGAGTTTCTTCACAAACTGCATTGACCATACTGCAAAGATTAGAATATTAAACTGGTTATTGATTACAACCTAAGAATAAAGACCGTAGTACCTACTTGTTGTGTAGATATCTTGAAATAAACACCTGTTATGCTTGTCTGTATGTGTGTACCTATGGTATTCTCAGAGATAAATGTAGAAACCACAATAAATCAAAAAATGTCAGGAAATGTATCACAAAATTAGATCTGAATTATTTAACTCTGACAGAGTTGTAGAAAGAGATCCAAAACATTATGAATAGAGAATTGATCAACAAAACAAATCAAACTTAATGATTGTTCTTCAATGGCTACTGGTGGGTAGAGCTCTGACTCGAGAGAGAGAGAGCATAAAAAACCATTTTAAAAGCATTCCAGACAAAAACAGTATATCAATATTCACAAAATATTATAATGTAATCCCCTCAGTTCACATGCACTACACAGGTCAATGTTCATCATTCCTACAGAACAAATAGGGAGGACATATAATCTGATCAAAAAAGATCATGCTCCACCAACACATAGTGTATTCTACTACAATTCATTCTTTTCCACATGAAAGCACATATGATGTCAAAGGGGAATGCTCCACAGCAATACGTAACTAGAGTGAAAGGAAATAGCTACATTCCATGATCAATGTATTATTGTAAACTTCTCTTAGTTTTACTATTAGCAACACTGGCTTAATGGCATGAGTTACTTGTAACAATATACCAAAATTTTTTTCTTTGGTCACACTACTGAAGGGATTCACATTTATATTAACATGTGATACAAATTATGATAACCCAAATACATCACCTTTACTTACTATAACTGAAGGTCAATTTGCCAAATATTTCTCCAACTTAACAACTGTTCCAAGCCATTCTGTAGTACCTCATTACAGCTAAAAATACCCAAGAGTTTAATATCAGCAGCAAACTACTAATGTGTCAATAATGTTTTTATCAATATTATTAATGTATACGACTAAAAGCAGAGGGCCAAGTACAAATACTAGTTAAAATGAGAATTGGGCCCTTACAGGATGGCAAGGTTTTTTGTTGGAAAGTAGTCAGATGAGCACTATAAAGATGATTCTGGGAACATTAAGGTTATTTTATAGGAATAATTAAAATCTCTAGCTATTTTCTCTTGAGAAAAAAAGGGTAAGAAGTGACCTTATTGATATTTACAAAATTACCAATGGGATTGATATGACAAAGGCCTCTAATTCCTTTATGCTATAATCTGAAGACAATAAGACACAAGTTAAGATTTGGAAGATAAAGGCTAGGCTCAAGTAAAACAGATTATATTTTTCTAACAGAGTGATTAGCTTGTGGACTAAATTACCACTGGAAGTACTGGAGGCCAAAACCTTATGAAAACTTAAGAGAAAAATCAAGGAATTTCCAATAAATGAATGGCATATTTAAGATCTATATTTTTACATTTCTTTTCCTCAGAGTTGGGCATGTAAAAACAGCCCTGAAAGACCAAATGATTCCTTGTTGTCTGTATATTACGTTTAATTAGATCTCTAAGGCATTCTACAAGAAAAAGGATCCAGTTTGGCTGGCCTTCATTGATAATAATAGCAATCTTTTGCTCTCTGTTGTCCAATCACCCAACAGTCAGATCAACAAGTATCTCTCAGTTGCCACCAATGTTATTTTCTTAGCTAAGCTTTTCTGTGGCACCTTATCAAAAGCTTTATGAAAACCTTAATACAACAAGTCTACACCCTTTCCATCATCCATATAACAAGTAACATCCTTGTTGAAAAAAGTTAACAGGTTACTAAGGTCAGACATCCCTTCAGTGAATGCATGTTTAAATTTCATGAAATCTCACTATATGATTTTGCAAGTCTTTTGTTTTTCTAGACTTTCTAAGATACTAGAAACATTTTCTACCTTGAGCAGTCTGTGGGAAATATTGAAATTAACCTGAATAGGATGGATATTAAACCCTTGGTGGTGAGTATAAAGATTGTGAGATTAAGAATAGATGAATCACTTGGCGCAGACATTTCTTTTCCAGGGGTTTTCAAGGAGATAAGAAATAAGTGATCCTCTCTCAGGGGCATGCAAAGGGCCAAAAAGTTGGTGGAACTTGAAAAACATTTCAACAATGGGAGAAAATTATTATGGTTACTCTCTAGAACAGGCTGGGTGGCTAGAGCCTACCAATGGTTCCAGAGGCAGAATCTCATTGGGATACCAGGAGGTGAAGCTTTAGTAGAGTTGAAGTGTGTATGTTTTGGAAGGTGAAAATAATTTTGTAATTACAAAAAATTGTCTTTTTTTAATGGAAATGAACAGAAAACTGTCTGAATATCAAGATATATATAAAGATTTAATTGTAATGAATATTATTATATCTTAATTGGATTTCTTTTTTCATGACTTCTGCTTTTCCGGATTGATAAACTGTTTTATTCTAATAGCTTGTCATATATTTGAAGTGGAAAAAAATTTGCTCTTGTATAAACAGAAGATACAAAACATTTAAAAGCACAGCTATCTCATAGTAGTGAACAAAAATCTTTCTATCAACACATATTAATGGTAATGCCTATTTTAACATTTTTCTTACATTTAACATAGTGTTACGATAGCGGAGGTCACGTGATGCTAGTAACACGCCACGCGCTTCTAGAACGTTCATGAAGCGTCGGGAGACTACTAGATATGGGGTAGTCTTGTATATATATATAAGACCGGCCAAGAAGCGACGGGAATAATGTGTAATTGAACTGCGGACAAAGTATTGTTGAGTTGAGCACGTGAGATGTTCATTGTGAATTATAGCGTTTGTTATAGCGCGACTGTGGAAATTAAGTGTGTTGCAAAGTTGTATTCAGAAAGAATAAACCAGTTTTATTTAAGAAAGGACTTGTGTGGCTAAAGTTTCGTAGAAACGAAATTTATGGAAAATTAACTAACGAACGGAGACATAACAAATTGGTGTCAGAAGTGGGATGGAAAAGAAAAAAATGGAAACGAGAAGCGGCAAATCAAACTACAGCTTAGCAGATTTAATGACAGCAATACAAGAGCAGCAAAAGAAACAAGAACAACGAGAAAAGAAACAAGTAGAGATTACAACAGTTGTTGGAGGAAAAAGAAAAGAAAAAGAAGAGAGATTACAACAGTTGTTGGAGGAAAAAGAAAAGAAACAAGAAAAGAGATTACAGCAGTGGCAACTAGAACAAGAAAGGAAACAGGAAGAAAGTGAGCAGCAACTACA